ATTTATTATAAAAATAAAATTTTTTAAACTCATAACCTTTAAATATTAATCAAAAACTCATATTTAAATAAATATCCTACCATAAGGACAAATATTAATGGTCGTATCATATTTTATATTATATACGATTTAAACATAATATTAATAATTTTGACACGAATATAATATGAATAATTTAAATACAAATATAATATATTTATTATACGTGTTATATATAATATAATCAATTAATATATTTAAAATTAATTTATTTTTAATTAACAAAATATGATATGATTTATATGATTATATATGAATAATATGATTAAATAGAATTAATTAATTAATTTAAAAATATTAAAATTAATATTAAAATAAAATATTTATAATTTAAATATTAAAATAATATGATAAATATAATTATTAAAATTTTTAAAAATAATTTAAATATATTATCATTATTTAATTAAAATATAATTTAATAATATTATATTTTAATTATATCAACATAATTAAAATATAAAATACGATTAAATTAAATTATTATAGAATTTGTTCATATCGTGTGCTCTAAAAATATTAAATCTAACAACCAATACGAGGCAAGGATTGAAAGTGAAATCCAACTCCAACTTTCTACATTTTTTTTTCCTTTTCATGATGGCAATTCCACACATTACAAAATCAGCATTGATGTGCATTTAATTACGACAACTCAATTCAAACCAAACCAAACCATGGTTCAAAGTAAAAAATTAAGTATGGTCAAGGACGTTGGGAATACCAACAAGTGATGGGACTGCTTAGACAAGTCACCTCAAGGACTTTGACTTCAACCTTTTTTTTTATTGATGTGATGAGTGGGGGGAACACTTTTTCAGCTTATATAATATAAAATTGTTTCATCTTTTTTAGTTTCAGAATTAAGTTAGTAAAGTTAAGGAGATATATATTTTATTTTTTAAAATATATTTTAAAAATATAAATAATTTTATTAATCTTATTTAAAAAATTTTAAATTTTATTATTAATATATGAAATAATTTATCTTATATAATTTCTTAATTTATCTTATATATTATCTTATAGATCATAGTCAGAGCACAAAAGCGGCAGCATTCAAAATAATGCCTCAGCAGCACCCGCCGGCACCTGTTGGCTAAAAAAAGTCATCAATTTGCTTTGGCACATTATCATCGTGTGATGGATCACCGTTTCCCATTCGACCCTCCCATCGTCAAAGCCAAACCGTACGTTACATACTTTCTGGATGGCCCAGCCCTTGTCATTTGTCATATTATCTCTTACTCTCTCCGTAGTTCTAGCCACATCGAAAAGCAACTACTCAAGCAATCGTAATATCCAAAACCCACGTTTTATAAAAGGTTGATCCCTCTGATGCAAATGATTTTTTGTTAATTTGAGATATTCAAAATAATTTTATTGTGAAAATAAAAATGTAATATTTTATTAACATATTATACAATTATTGATCAAATTACTTTTAATATAAGTTAAAAAAAAATTTAAATGTAATCTCATCATTGTAAAAAAATAAAATCACATACTTTTTTTCATGTAAAGAACAAACTTAAACCTCACTTTCCTTTTTCCATATTGTTGTTAACACTGTTTACCGCAGATTTTTTTTTTTCTCCAATTGACCTACTCTTTTATTGGCGTTGTAGTCGACGTATTTGACATGGATTCTTCTCCTTTCACTGACAATTGAAAATATTTTTCGCCTTTTTTTAGGTATGTTAGGATGTTTTGATTAGATTTAATAATATAAAATATGATAAAATAATTTATATAAAAATAATATAATTTAAATTTTAATAATAATTATATATAAATTTAATAAAATAAAAAACATATTTTATATTTTTATAATAATATAAATTATAATATATAATTTTTATATAAAATATGATATAAATATATAAAATATATAAATCATTAAATTTAATTTTAACATCAACTTCTTATGATTAAGAAAAAATCATTATTACACAATTATTTAGATAAAAATATAAATATGACGTGGAAATCCAGATGCCATGTGGCTGCCCATGATTGGTTTTTCCATTTAAAAAATAATACTTCTTTTTGTTCAGATTGATATTATTATTCTTATCTTAAAAAATAGGAAAAGAAGATACAACACCTGAATGATCCTGCCTCGGGTTATATTTAAAATGGCATAATTGCGCCCATTATGCCTTTCTCTTCCAACGAGACGATAATTTTTTATCACGTGCTGTATTACACGCTTTTCACGAAAAAGTCATGGAAATTAATATATTATATCGAAGCAACCGTTTTTTATGTTTTAAAAATAAACTTGACTTGCGTGGGACCCACGTGGGTGTTTCCGTCTGTCGGCAGATAACTCCACCTAACCAACACCATCATAAAGCGACCTAACTCCGTATGCGTCTTGCAGTGCAAACAATACGCTTTTAATTACCAAAGTACCCTCATTTAATAAATGTATTTTTATTTATTTATAATAATAAATACATAAAAATAATATCTCTATTTGATTTTTTAATTTCTTGGCCACAGAAGTATCTTACTTCGAAAGAAAGATAAAAATTTAAATCTCTTGGACGTCTTGATCTAGTGATAAAAAACGTTTTAAGAAAATATAAGGTTGAGTTTAATTTCTTTTTTTTTTTTCTCTTTCTTGTTGTAGAGTTTTGCTTTTTTAAAATAAAATTTTTTTTCTTCACTCATTTGATAAAAAAAAAGTTTTTTTGAATGAAGAAATTTTTAATTTTTTTAATAATTTAATAGTAGGAAAAGCTTTTTCATAAAATTCATAATTTATATATTATATTAAAAATTTTTAAAATTCATATATTATATTAAATATTTTATTATAAATTAAATATAAAAAAATCCTTATGTACTATACATTTTTTGAAATGAGTAGCATAAAAATATTTAAAACTATTACTAAACATGATTATGTTTTTACTTTTTATACAATCAACATTAAAATTATGGAATATAATATTTAATTTGTTGTTATTATTATTATTATTTGTATTATATAATTTTTGTTAATTTAGTATTTAAATAAATAATTTTTTTTACTTAAATTTTATTTTGTCAAATATTTTACTATTTTAAATTAACACCATTAGTTGAGTTACACACATGACATTAATATTTAATAAAATATGATATTTTGTATCAATGTTTATATCATTTATTTTTTATATCATCATTTAGATAAAATATTCAAAAATTTTAAAAATATATATGTTTAATTCAAAATTAAAAAAAAAAAGATAAAAGAAAATAATCGAAGAGAGAGAATAAGGAAATGGAAAAGAAGGAGAGAGAAAAAGTGAAATGATAAAGTAGGGGCGGTGGCACCAACCGATCTAATACGAATTGAGGCTAATTTGTTGTGGACGTAGCGAATCGACGGCAATTAGACCCGTTAGAATAGAACGACTCGACCCATTCGAGTAGATCAACGTCGACTTGCCCCTATGTTGCCAATGGTTGACTGGCAATGTCGTCATTTCCCCCTATCTGTCCTATCTCTTTCCCTTCCCTATTCCTTTATTTCTTTCCAATATTTTCCTTTAATATTTTTATTTTTAATTTTATTTTTAGTAAAACTAGAATTTATTTTTTAATTACGTAAGAAAAGTTGATCGATGGTAATTAAATATTTATGACACGTAATATAATTTTATTAAATATTTATATAATTTTAATTATTTAATTAACAGTAATAATATAAAATTTTAAAATATTTGAGAAAATAAAAATTATAATATTAAAATAATTTTTTATTTTTTTAAATATCAAAATGACTGAAAATATTTAATACAATAATTATTTTACATATTAACCTTCAATTATAATTTAAAAATCATTCATAATATTAACCATTTTCCTTTTCTTAAATCTAAAAGTCAACAAATATCTTTAAAATCCAATCCTAATTGTATCATATTTATTATTTTACGTACAACCCAAGGCAACTTATTCATTGAACAAAAAGCGTATTTCATGGTCATATGATAAAAGTTTCTTCGAATTCCAAATTTAGTAGGTTCATGTTATTATCATTAAAAAAAAAAAAAATCTAGTAAGTATGAAATGTAAATTTTAATATTTACAAATATTTTTTTAATTTGTAAGTTACAATATTTTTTATACTATTTTAAGATTCAAATCTCATATTTCAGTCATTAAATGATAATTAAAATGCAATATGATTATATATTAATATTATAATCTGTTTTTTTTTTCTTTTCATACATTTGTAAAATATGAGTTTAATTGGAAAAATTACTTGAAAGTAAAGAGGTTGAAATAGGCACTTAATTATTAATATTTTAATTTAATAATTTAAGTATGAATAAATATTTTGTTATTACTCAATAATAAATTTTTAATGTTATATTGATATAATATGATCGTGTCATCGTTATATATCATTATCATATCCACAATATTTCATTTGATTCATCATTTAATGTGTCTTGTGATATATTAATAATTGATGCAAAAGGTTATGTGGCAATGTTACATAATATTTGATGTTATCATGTTAATACGTAATTAAAATTTAATAATTAAATGATAAAAAAATTAATTTTAGTGATTAAATAAAAGCCTTAATAAATAATTATTTAAAAAATATAATCATAATTAAATAATTAATAATATATTTTAATAATAAACATGGGATTTGGACCACTGAATTTGCTGTTTTTCCATTATTATGAATTTTAAGAATTGTTTAAAAAAAGAAAAAAAGAAAAGGACTTTGGTCCACATCCAAAGGGCAACCATGGAAAAAGTGAAATAGGCAACTGCAAGGAAAAGCCTATTCAACTTGACTGTTCTTCCCCTACCACTATCGGCTTCAACATTATCATACAATATTTTCTCTTTCTTAACTTTTTCTTTAATGCAAAAAAAAAACGTGCTTAAATAAAATGAATAATAATAATAATTTTTTAAATAATTTCCAGATAAAGAAACCAGGACAAGTTATATAGAATAAGGAAACCAGGGCAAGTTAGATAGCTAAATCATGTTCGTAGAACGAGGTGAGATTTGGAGATGCCTGCTTCCCCCTTGCATTCCTTCCTGTCATACACCTTCAGCGGTAGTCTCTCAAAGTGGCAAAAAACTTAGATGAGCGCCTGAAACTTGATGTTTCACTAGATTTAAATCTTTGACAATCATTTCATTCTGCTTTGTAAGAAACTTGAGAGCTTTCGAAAAACAGTAGAAGAAAAAAAAAAAGTAAGCAATGTCCAATTCAAGCCAAAGGTCTGGTAAGGCTCCTGAGAGTGCAAGTTTTGTCAATCTTCTTAGCCAGTACTTGAAAGAAAAAAGAAATCTTGGAAATATCAGCATTGGAATGACTTCAAAACCTGAAGCTAAAGGTACCCTTTTGCTTTCTTTCTGGGCTTCTGTTTGTTGGTGGGGAAAAGGCCGTAGTGAAATTCTGAGCTTTTGTTTGGGTTTCTATGGGGGGTTTTGAGTGAAGAATTTACGATTGGTTGATGTATCAAAGATTTTCCTTCTTTTTTTTTTTTTTCTGTGCATGCTATTGGAAAGAGAAGTTCTTGAATTTGGGAAGAAGGGTGTTTTATATTCTATGTTTGGTGATGTTGCAGGGCTTGAAACATCTAGGCAACAAGCAATGACAATGAACTTTTTGCCCAATTTGGATAATTCTTCTGAGAGTTCGAGACCAAATGTTGTGGCGTCTACATCAAATGTGAAATCTTCTGATTTTTTTCCAGATATTCACAGTTTTGGTGCCTTCTTTTTCAAGGAAGATACTGCTAAGACAGATTTCAGGTGTGTGCTTTTTTCCATTTATATCACAATATATTTAGATGCCTCTCATTTGATTTTTTATAACCCCAACCTTTTAAAAGGAATGCTATAAAAAGTTTTACCATTTCATTGAGGAATTATTACAAGTTTAATGCCTTCCTGTTTAAAAATTAAAGCAAGAAGGGCAATGAGAAACCACCGAAATACTCATACTATTGACTGAAAATTGTAAAAATATCTATGAACTGAGAATATTGTATTTGTTGGTTTAGGAAACAAGCACTAGTGGAGCCAAAGAATGCTCAGCTCACCATATTTTTTGGCGGTCAAGTGCTAGTATATAATGACTTTCCAGCGGACAAGGTCAAGGAGATCATGGACTTGGCCAGCCAAGGATGCTCAGCTGCATGTGGCGGTATTGTTGCTGACTCTGGCATGGAAAAAGTTATTTCTTACATAGACGGAGGTCACTCTAGCAATTCTGATATTCCTGACCTGAACATCACCTCCACGACTGCAAACAGTTCTGTTCAAGATTCTTCTGTTGAGCGGCGTCAATTTGGTGGTTCAGGTAATTGATATGTGGCCTTGAATCAAATCAAGGAAGTTGCTGTTGAAAATGTTGAAAGCTTTTTACCATTAATGACTAATTCTAATTCATTTGCATGTCTTTGCTCGCTGCAGATTTGCGAATTGCAAGAAGAAATTCACTTCACAAGTTCTTTGAGAAGAGAAAAGACAGGTAAGCAAGTTTTGCCAGCACTAGAAAAACTTTTGGATGCTATGCTTCACAAAAACTGACTTGCTTGGATTATGCAGAACTAGGGATCTCATATCTTGTTACAAATGAAACAAAACTGGTGCATTCTATTGCTAACTTTTTGGCTCGACTAGAAAATGAGAGAGAACCCTTTTTCTTTTTCATTTAATCCATCAAACACCATGTGTATTCTGGCCTTAAAGGTAGTATTTGACTACCATATGAAAGACCTTAGTTCAAATGTAATCTTGTTCTTCTTGACTTCATTAAATGATCACTAAATTGATCCTTGGCTTCATTTTCAGAGCAGCCGCAAGAGCACCGTACCAAGTTAACAACCGACTAGGATCTTCTCCTCCACCTAAACCTGATGAAAGCAAGTTCTCTCATGAGGAAGGTCAATCACCTAAAGAAGCATCAAGAGATCTTGATCTCAATTTATAATTATATTGATCACTTCATTGTGTTGCAACTTAGGATACCTTAGTGACACAGGCATAAGGACCTTAATTCTTAACTATTGTTGTTAGGCATTTTATACTTCTATCAGTATAATTTTTGTAACTAAACTGTTACAATTAAATTGAGATCAGATTGGTTTTTTTAATGGAAGTTTAATCCATTGATGGTTTAAACCCCCAAAACTGCTTTATATCTTCTTCCTGACGAACTTTGTTGTTAAGTTGGAAGCTGGCAAATGACCAGTTCATTAAATGGTTTAAAATTGATGAATCAGAAGAGGGGTTGAGTGTTGAAGCCTCTGTTTTCAGAGGAGCAAAGGTATCTGTCTTATGTTGTGGACTTATGGTTCCCGCTCAGCAGAGCATTCACAGGCAAAAACACTCCACCAACAGCAAGAACCAAGCCAAGCAATACCGCAAAGCATGTGAAATACCCACATCAGAATTGAACAGGCCGAGCAAACAGCGGCGGATTCCTAGGCTTTTCCTTTCCCCCTTTCGTGCCACTTTTTCATCATGCAAGGTGAGTGAAAGATCACGTTTTGCACACTCAAGTCTCAGCGCTTGATCAAATTCAGAAAAGGCTTGACAACATAGTCTTTATGGCTATAATAATGGCATCCTACGAAAAGAAACAAGTATAATGCTAGGCTATGAGGGGCAGGTCTTTGATTTGAAGAAGAAATTATAGAGTTTCCAGCATGACATAAATGATAAAAGCTTTACTCAACAGCTTTTTCTTTTCCAAAAGAAAAAAAATTAATTATCAGCGGAAGAAGCATTATCATAAAAATGGATTGGCAGCAGAAGCATTGAGCAGGTAAGAATTGTAAGGCTACATTAATTCTGAAATACATTAGTTCGAAGTTGACATAAGAAATTAAAAGGATACAAACTAAACAGCAGATTTTCCAGTGAAGTATGAATGCACTTCGACTATATATTGAGAGCAAACAGATTTTGAGGCAAAAGGTTTCCTAGCCTTAAAAAAGGATGGCACTGGGAACAATGATGCCATGTTCTACTAGTCCAGAGCCCCAAACCAAACTGTGTGATTGATTTAAATATGTGATCAATGCTAGACTGCTGACTCTATGTTTTATGTAGATATAACAATTCTAATATCTGTATCGTATTATAATTTGTTTTGTAAAATGCAAGACATTTTTTTATTTTTATTAAAATTTTAAATCATATGATTTTCGTATTTTTTAAGCCTGTTACTGTATCTTATTTAAAATTGTTAGCAATAAGAAATCTTATTATGACAGACATGGGCCGCTGTGTCAAAAAAAGCCCATTATCTGGTCCGTAACATGGCCATTGGGCCTAAGCTTTTGTACTTTTCTAAGCCTGTCCAATTTTAGAGTTTTAGTTCCCTATTGGTCTTGGACAAAACACAAGCGACAACAAATTTCACATGTTGTCGACCCAAAAAGGCAATATTCTGATATGTTCACACGTGGCATTTCTTCATTTGTTATAGACAAACACAAGTAACATTGAGAAGCAGCTTTATCTTTCTCCTTCCCTCAATAATATTCCCACTATAAATACGTTTTTGGAGCCGCTCGCTTTTCTTCCTCTTCCTTCAGAGGCCTTTTTTACTCTTTCATTTGTGGTTTTTTTTTTTTTTTTTAATCTTTCTTTCAAATCCGTACTCTGAAACCTAGCGAAGGAGGTAAAAGGAAAAAAAAGGGATAATTTCCTCGGAAACCACACACCCCGATTAATTTTACCTAAAAATCGCCGAGAAAAAAATGCAGCACCAGAGGCTGAAGCAACAGCAACAAGCCTTGATGCAGCAAGCTCTCCTCCAACAACAGGCTCTCTATCACCCAGGCATCTTAGCTCCTCAGGTTTTCCACTCTTTTGTCTCTCTTATCTCTTTAATTTTTCGGTAATTTCTCTTCTACGAGTTTTTGTTCCGGTTTTTAGGAATGATTTGTTGGATTTTTCAAAATCGTGTTATGATCTTCGAGCTCGTGTTTTGTTTATTGTTTGTGATTGACTGGTGGAGCTAGGGTTAGTTTGGGACTTTTATGCGGTTATGATTTAGCTTTTGAAAGATAAGTTTTTTCCATGGGTTTTGCTTGAATTCCGTGGACTTTGTTTCTATTTTGTTGTTTTCTGGTTGTTGAATGTATTTTTCTTTCATTCTTCAGTTTTTTTATGCTTTATTGGACGGAATGTTGAATTTTTACATTTTGTTTTTGGAAATGAGAAAGTCTGTGTCTTTAACATGCTTTTGGTGTAAAGTTAAGCTCATGGTTTTGGGTTTGAAATTTGATGAGAGATTGTTTTGTTTCTTAATATTTTTACATTTTCATCATTTCATGAAGTTCCAATGTTGTTATATGAAGTTGCAATCGGCAAGCTAGTAGGTTCGCTTTTGGTGTTTTCTTTCTCATTTACTTGGGTTTCTCACTACTTTGGTTTTATTTAGCTTACTGCTAATCGAAATCTTTTTGCTGTTTTGCAAATGCGAAATGATTGAATGTGTTTGGGTATCGTTTAGTTGCCATCTCTCTTGTACACACTCACAATCATTCAATCAATCATTCTATTTTTCTATGTTTTTATGTATCTCTCTGTATCTCTTGCTTGCTAATATTGTATAAAAATGTGCAATTTATTTCTCTTGCTCTCTTGTTTCAAGTGTTAGAGCGTAAAACATGGTTCCTGAATTTCATTTTGGGACTCTTTAGGTTTATAGTGCTGGACTATAACAGCATGAAGTAAATTTATAAAGTTTAGGATACTATCAATATTTTTTGCATTCTGTTGAAGTTACATTTCCTGCAGATCTTTTTGTTTCAATTTTTTAGAAAAATATAGGTTTGTTTTTCAATTTGGAGGAGGGAGCTCAAAGGAATTTTGAGCTGCATTATCCTTGAATTTACTGTCCTGTGGACTACAGTTCTGCTGAAGTATGTCTTGTTTAGATGAGGCGGAATATTTTGGTCTGGTTGTCGCCGTAAAACCAAAGGGGAAAAAAGGGATCATAGAAAAAGCAAGAAAATATAGTCTTTTTTGGCTTTAAGTTGAAATTGTTTTCAAAGAGGTTGGAGAAGTGATGCTCTCGTTTCTAATGGTTGTAGTTAGCAGCTTGTTTTGGTCTTTCATCATGGTTTGACTATGTTTCACACTGGCTGTCAACCTATTGCAACCCTCCTCCTTTATCCGGGCTTGGGACTGGTAGTGTGACAACACACAAGTGGAGAGATCAAAACATTTAGCGGCAGACCACGAAAGATATGGATGCAAGTAATTAAAAACGATATGATGGTCAAGGAATTAGATGAAAAGGTGGTTGTTGATAGAAATAAGTGGCGCAAGAAGATTCAAACTACAATCTAACTTGATTCTCTTATTTGGTTTTTCATGCAACTTACCCCAGAGTATGGGATATATGGTTTAGTGTGTTGTTGTTGTGGTTAGCAGCTTGTTTGTTTTTCTAGGTTGAGTGTTGGATACCTTCGAAAACTTATCTTCTTTCTAGGACTTGAAAGCTTTAGAATTGGGTTGAGTGGGAGGAGACTTTTTTATACATCATTTCTTCTTTTCCCCTCTTTTTTTTATTTTTTTTGTTTTTCACTTTTTTATTTTGCAGATAGAGCCAATCCCAAGTGGAAATCTGCCTCCCGGTTTTGATCCAAGTACTTGCTGCAGTGTGTGAGTGTTTGCCTAGATATTTTAACTTTTTTTTCCCCATTTTGTGTGTCTGTCGTTTCCCCTTCTTGCTTAAGCAACTACCCTAGTCACTTTAATGCTATGACTATATACATAGGTGACACTTTCCTTCATCAATCTGATGATTTGAAACGTTACTTTTACCCATGGTGCTAAATTCTAAGCCATGGATCTTTTAATTGATAGTTAAATGGTTTTGGGAATGTGATACTTGTATGTTCTTTCATCTTTCAAGCAACTCAGAAGGTTACTTAAAGCCTTTTATTTATTTTTTTGTTTCTTTTTTTTTTTTAAACTTCTAGGTTTTTTATTTTTGAGAAACTGCAGGTATGTGGGAAACATCCATACACAAGTGACGGAACCACTACTCCATGAGGTTTTTGCAAGTACTGGTCCTGTTGAAGGTTGCAAGCTTGTCAGAAAGGAAAAGGTACTATTTTCAATATAGTAGATTCTTTTTTCCCATATGAAACTATGAGGATGCTCTAATTGTGCAATGCTTAACTTTCTTTACTTAGTTTTCTCCCTTTTCCTTTACGCTATGTTTGGATTGAGGGGAAGGAAAGGAAAGGAAAGGAAAATAAAGGAAAGTAATGGAAATAGAAAAATCCTTCCTTTGTTTGGATAAACTTTTAATTTAAAGGAAAGGAAAGGAAAGAGGTGGAAACTCAACACTTTTTTAATACCCCAATTTGGGGGAAAAGCTAAGGAAAGAAAAGTTGAAAAAAAATTATTTTTATAAAAAGACTATTATATCCATCCTTTTTAATATTAAAAACCTAGTCAAGAAAACCTAACTACATCACAATCTTCTTGTAATTTTTTCAAAGCCATCTCTTTTTTTAAGTAAGTTTCACATGTCTTTTCCAATATAAAATTTTTTTATAATTTTTTGGTTATCTGATTTTGATGAATGAATGAATATGAATAGACATATTTTTTGGGTTTATGAGATGTAATGTTTTTATGTGATTTTATTTTTTATATTTAATAGTTTTTATATGAATACATTGCCAAAGTGATAGTGTGTTGAAATTTTGGCAATAATAAAAAAATCCATCAATGCATGTTTGTAAAACATTTTTCTGTTTCACTTTATTAAAAACCACTGATATAGCGGCAATTGTGAGGCCATACAAGATAGCAAACGTATCATGGTTCAGGAGTGCTCTAAAATCACAGGCAATGAAATGTTATAATTGAAAAAAATTATTATAATGAATCATTTCCTTTTTTTTTTTTCACTCTTTATTCAAACAATGGGTGTTGGAATTTTGTTCCTTTCTTTTATTAATTTTAATTATCCAAACAAGGGGTATATATATATATATATATATCATTTCCTTTCTTTAAAAAAACTTTTTTTTCCTTTCCTTTCTTTTCCTTTATAAATATTTATCCAAACATTACCTTAGCCTATTGATTGCCATATGATTGACAGGTCTTTTGTTTCTCACTCTACTTTGTTTTCTCCCTTTTCCTTTAGCCTATTGATTGCCATATGATTAATATGTCTTTTGTTTCTCACTCTACTTAATCAGTCATCATATGGATTCATCCACTACTTCGATCGCAGATCAGCTGCTCTTGCTATATTGTCTCTAAATGGAAGGCATTTGTAAGTATTAACTCTAATGTTTTCCTCATACTTTATTTTGATTGTGCTTTTACATCATATCATGTAATCTGCAGATTTGGACAGCCTATCAAGGTCAATTGGGCATATGCTAGTGGTCAGAAAGAGGATACATCAGGTTTGCTGATGTTTTTGTTTGCTAAATTTTGCTCTGAAATATTTATGATGTGCTGGCAATTATTTTTTTAATTATACTGTTTGATACTATCATAACTGTTGCAGGTCACTTTAACATTTTTGTTGGGGATCTCAGTCCTGAGGTTACTGATGCTATGCTGTTTGCATGCTTTTCTGTTTATCCCACTTGTTCGTAAGCATCTTTTCTTTTTTATCTTGATTTCCGTTAATGCATGTGCTGTAACTTATTAAAAGTAAATCCCTAAACTATCAGGATGTGCAAATTTATTAGTCAGTAAAAATTGATTAATGTTTTTGTGTTGCTTGAAGTAGTGATCTATTGGTTCACAATAAATAACAAAAATGACGTCTTAACTGGATTTAAGGGATGCGAGGGTTATGTGGGATCAGAAAACTGGGCGTTCAAGAGGATTTGGGTTTGTTTCATTTCGCAACCAGCAGGTACTGTTTCTTGGTTAAGTTTCTGGTGGCTCTTTGTGTTTCTCTTCCATTATGATGTTACTTCATCTATTTATGTTCACATTTTTTTTCTCTGTTAGGATGCACAAAGTGCAATTAATGACTTAAGTGGTAAGATTGATGCTTTTTACTCTATACGTGTACTTTGTAATCTTTATTGGTCGCAGTTTTAGCTCATCAAATAAAGCTGTGAATTTTTTATTCAAAATTTTATTTCATGTCTTTCATGCTTTGAAGTAATCCTAATAGGTTGCTGAAATAGTAATCTAAAAATGTTTTCCCTTTTCTTTTCCCCTAGTTATTCTTTCATGAATTTTTCTGTAAAATCACCATGTTTAGAGTATTGATCCACTAAATTATTGTGGCTGAGGTGGAAGAATTGTATTTAGTTCTAATTTTTTAGATGAATTATCATTTGCATGAATTGTGGTTATTTGATATTGCAGTGAAAATTCTAATGTGCTTTTGATTCATTTTTCTAGGAAAGTGGCTTGGTAGTCGGCAGATTCGTTGTAACTGGGCAACAAAGGGTGCCAGTAGCAACGATGACAAGCAGAGCTCTGATGCCAAAAGTGTGGTGGAACTTACCAATGGCCCATCAGGTGTGTTTGTTGTGGCGAGAATCATTATCTTTTCTTTAAATCAACCATTCATGTATTATTGCTTTGTTCAATGCAAACCCCAAAACTGAGTATTTTGTTACTTTTATTCAACCTTTTATGGATCTTTAAATTTATGCCAAATGGAAAATAAACTTACATCTATTAGCTTGGCATGCAGAGGATGGTAAAGAGACAACCAATAATGAGGATCTTGAGAATAATCCTCAATATACTACTGTTTACGTCGGCAATCTTGCTCCCGAGGCAAGTAACTGTCTCCAACAGCTCTTCTATTTATTATTTTGCACATGCAAGTTAATATTGAAATGGGCTTTACAAAGCATTAAGAGGCATGGGCTTAGTTTAGATGGGACCAGTGAAATGAGCATTTCCTTAGGAAATCTCATCTTTCTAGATGCACGTAAAAAACTCAAATTTTCTAAACTTCAGTCATTTATTTTTTAAAAAACTCAGCTAGAGTAAAAAGAATGATTGGGCTCTTACCTATCAATTCAAGCTTCTCAACCAATGATAGTATGAGCCTGAACCAGCTGTCCGTATGTGGGCTGTGAGAACTCCAATCATCTAATAAAAGTTCTTAGTGCATTTGAGAGTTGGCGTTGTGTTCTGAAAGCTCCAGTTACTTTGTACTGTAAATAAACATGCTTGGTTCTCCAATAAAACCAATAATTTTTTAATTTTTTCAGGTCACCCAACTTGAACTCCATCGTCACTTCCATGCACTTGGTGCTGGGGTGATTGAGGAGGTTCGAGTCCAGTGTGATAAAGGCTTTGGCTTTGTGAGATACAGTACTCATGCTGAGGCAGCGTTGGCTATTCAGATGGGGAACACTCAGTCATTTCTGTGTGGCAAGCAAATTAAGGTTTGTTCTCTTCTTTTAGTCAAAATTTGACTTCCTTCTGTATTTGAGAAAAATAAATATTTAACATAATGTGTACATTTGAAGTCTTTGGAGGAGGATGTTTTGGAAATTCTTTGCATCGGTTATTATTTTTATTGAATCATTGACCCTTCAGTATTCCTAAAATGATCCGTAGAATGAGTTGGATGATTGTTAGGGATGGTTGATGTTCATTAAATTCAATTTTGCTTATCTAATGATCTTGTAGTTGTAGTCGGAGTTCCAACTTTCAATTTTTATTTTGAAGAACTTCTTTCAATTTTTAATTCCTTGGATAGTGAGAAATTGACATGTTTAATTTGTTTGTGCAGTGCTCCTGGGGCAGCAAGCCTACACCACCAGGGACAAGTTCAAATCCACTTCCCCCACCTGTAGCTGCACCTTTACCTGGCCTTTCAACCGCTGACCTTTTAGCTTACGAGCGACGACTTGCCATGAACAAAATAGGCGGTGTTCATGCCCTAGTGCACCCTCAGGGACAGCATCCTCTCAAGCAAGCAGCAATGGGAGTGGGTTCTGCTGGAGCAAGCCAGGCTATTTATGATGGTGGATTCCAGAACGTTGCTGCTGCCCAGCAGCTAATGTACTATCAGTAATAAAAATAGAGTTTGTGTGGTAATACCCTTATTTCCTGCATTTGCAGGTTTTATTTGAGTTCCAAACACAACATTTAGGAGGCTTTTCAGTGTATTTTCCTTTTTTTTTTTTTTTAATCTGTGAGGTTGCACCCTGCTTTTATCAGTACATATGATTGCCTTCCAGATTTTATTTGAGTTCTACAAGGCCTGGAAGCTTTTTAATGTATTTTCTGCTATGTATTTCATACGGTTGCTGTCCCAAATCCCAATGGATAATTAAAGCATATTTGCACCTTTCTCTTGAGTTCCACACTTACATTTCTACTGTACTTATATATATATATATATATTTTTCTCTTGTCATAGTTGTTTGGGTTTATTTTTTGATGGAATATTTCTACGGTTTCTGTCATGAAATTCTTATGAAGCAAATACTGGATATATGTACTCTGGACATGACCATTATAGACAAGGGTTAGACAATAGAACCAACATTGTTTCTCGTTTATATTTTTGATGGAAAATGTTTAAATTACTGCTTGCCACTATACCAAATACCAATCAGGTAAATGTTTATCGACGTATGAATTAATTAGCATGAGATTTTTTTTACATTTATAAGTTACGAATTTAAATGAGTTTATGTGCATAAATATTTTGTTCAGTCAAGTTGAAATAAAAGGTAAAGGCAAACAAAATTTAAGTTAGGCATGATATTTTTGCTTATGTTTAGAGGTTGCGAGTTTAAAAAGGATCGTACACAAATCTTCTTTAGTCAAGCAAATATATAGAGTAAAGAGTTAAAAAAAAAAGGGTAAACTCTGTATGCATCATTTGTGATTTGCTACTTTTTCACTTACAGCCCTTCTGAATTTTTTTTTGACTTATAATCTTGAAGTTTGCTTTTAGTAACAGTATTAAAAATAAATTAGGAATTTTTTTTGTAATTTTACCAAAATCTGATTGATTTTTTATGCTGTTATCCTGAAGTCAATCGTAGAATTATAAGTGAAAAAAAATTTACACTAAAGGCATAAGTGAAAAAGTTGCAAACAGTAGGTGTATGTGAAATTTATTCTTAAAAAAAAAATAAAAAATTCAGGTAAATTAATACTTAAACGGTGCGTTTAGGACTGACCTCGTTTGGCAAACAGTAGGACTGACCTCTTTTTCCCATTTCGCCAGTGTTCGCTCTCTCAACTCTGACTAAGTCGAGGGTTTTACTTCAAAGTTTAAGCCATTTTTTAGGTTCTTTTTTTTTTTTTTTTAGCGCAAATTCCCGCTCTTAAATTAAAAGCTTCTTCTTTAGTTTTTAAACAAAACCTCAAATCCATTGAAATCCCAGCGTTTGTTTCGATTTGAAAACTATCCACGCTCCCATTATAACGCCCACGCCCATTATGGATTTGGAAATGGAGACGTCTCCCAGCTACTTTGACCCTCAAGATCACTCCGCTAGGGAAAAGTTTCGTCGTTATGGGTACCATTCTAATAAACCCATTTCTTTTTTTTTCGTAAAAACATTATACATTTTTATAGAGTTACTTATTTTTCTATGATAATGTGAAATTTTGGTTGTTTCATTAGGGTTTTCTGGGTGCAATCTTTAAAGTGTTTTTTCTTATTAGGAGTTGTTTTGATGTTAGAAATTAATGGGTTGGAGCCTATTCCATACAACCCATTTCTCAAAGTAATGTGTTATGTTTGTTTGGTGATGGTTTTGCTCTTTGTTAATCGTTAGAATTTGGGTTTTGAGTATGACTGTTGAGGAACTGGTTTTCATATTCAGACTTTGGATTGACTTGTTAATAGTATGTAAGGTTTTACTTATTGACATGAATTACTGTTTTGTACTTACTGACACGATTCATTGGTTTTATGTATGGAACATTATCAAGCAATAGAAAACACCAAAAAGAAAAAAAAAAGAAGAAAAAAAGATAAATGAAGATAAATAGAAACTAAAAGGTGCTATTAATAGTGGAGTCTGTTGATTAAAGACTTGAGAAGTGGCAATTAACACAAAAAGATAACAGGGGCGGTGCTGGAAAATGAAGGGAGGAGAAGAGATAAAAACTGAGATGTTTAGTGTCACTCTGTTTTAGGTTGTTCTTTATGCTGTTTAATACAAGTATTGCTCCTTTCAATTAAATCTCACTTGGTTGGATTATGTAATATGGACTGCCTGCAGGAAAAGAAACTCAAGTTCAAGCATATCTCCATGGCAAGAAAGTGGTGTTTCAAAGTTCAATGAAGCTAAGTTGTTGTATGAAGGGCCAATTATCCACAGCCCAACTAATGCTGCCCTTCTTCTTGAAAACATCAAACAAGAGGCTGAGACCTTTGATACTGACTATTTTGAAGAAATACCTGCAGGGACACACTTGGCTTCTAAGAGGAGACCATCAAATGATGGTCTTCGAATTGCTAAGGTTGATAATGGTGTTGATTCAATTCGCAGAATAGGAAGTCATGCACTAAAAGCCTGCAAGATTGAGGAGGATTTATTGGCAGATAACGGAGACACAACCTTTGTTTTGTTTGCATCTCTCCTTGGTTCTGCTCTTCAAGGTGCTCGAAGTACTATCACTTCTATTAAGTGCAACAACTCAAAGTTGAAATTATTGAACTAGCTTTCCTTATTTCAAGTGAATGTAATGTGACTGATGATTGTTTTTGATCAATATGTCATAGAATTTGTTTGAGATCCTTGATTCATATCAGCTGTATTAATTTCTAGGAGCTAGGAAACTGATAATTGCATAAAATTAGGCTTGAATATGTTAGAAAATGCAATATTGATTGAAGGTCCTTGTAATAAGCATGTTTATAAATAAAGTTTTACTTTGAGTTCTTGTACATCAAGTCCATTAAATGTTGCATTCTAAGATATGAGACAGTAAAGTAGAGAAGCCTGACTGACTGCTCAATATGTCTATATTTCTATATTGGAGCACTATATTTGGTTGCAATAAAAAGAAAAAAAGAAGAAGAAAAGATAGTATCCTGCTGGTGCAGATATTATGAATATCCATAAGTTGCCCTGTAATTTAAAATTATATTGTTGTTTCCTGTAGTCCCCCTGATATGGCATCTGATTTCTATTGCAGCTATATATGTTCATATTTTCATGTTTTGCAGGGTTAATGCCAATTACTGATCTGATTTTACAATTTGAGAGATCATGCCGGAATGTTTCAGAGTCGATTAGGTTTGTCTCGTACCATCAAGTATATTTATAACTTGGTGTAGGTGTATCTTGCAATATAGGCGCACTTGTGCTTGAAATACCATGGATTTGGTTATGATTACAAATTTATTACTGTTTCATCTTCTTTTTCCATTTGGCTTATGTCTTGATTTTGAGCATTTTAGTATGCCATATCCCCTGTTCCTCTTTTTCCTGCAACCCCTTTCCCAGAAAGAAAGAAGATCCAATGGCACACTATTTAATGTGCTTTTGTTTATACCTTATTATCTATGGATAGATAATTATTTAAGTCTGTCTTATTGAGAGTTAAGGATGCCAACATCGGCATTATCATTTTTCACTTAAAATTATGAAGTAGAGACAAGTGTTTCAGAAGTTTTTTTATTTGTTGAGGAGCTGCTCAAGCATTTTCTTTTTCAAAGTGCCTTTGTAAATTAGTTAGCATCAATTTCTTGGGTGGCCTTTTAACTGCATCATGATTTGCTGCTTGCACAGATATGAATCCAACATACGTCATCGGGTTGTGGAGGACAAATTGATGAGACAGAAGGCTCAGCTTCTGCTTGATGAGGCTGCTACTTGGTCTCTACTCTGGTACCTTTATGGAAAAGGAAATGAGTCTCTAACCTTTGAAAACTTTTGGCAACAATTGATTTCTTAGGAAAAAGATTATTTCAGTTATGAAGTTTTTGAAGTTATCTGCATCTTGTTTCTCAAATCACACTGTTCATAGTGTGTGCATTATCTTTTGCAAATAGTTGTTTATATATATATATTATTTTGATTACTTCTACTGGGTGCAAACTTCATCCTTGAGCTTTGGGTTTTTTTTTGACAGTTTCTATTCTTCTTGCAGTGACTGAAGAACCTCCTGAAGAGCTCATTCTGGTATCTTTTTTTCTTTTCAATATTTTCTCCTTTGAACTGAGTCTTTTACTCCTAATAAATGCTAGCATTTCCTTTTGACTACCTTCTAATTCAAGTTAAAATGGTTTACTCTTACTTAAATCTTTCAATTTGCGACAGTCCCCTTCAACATCACATATAGAGGCTTGCCAGTTTGTTGTGAATGATCACACAGCACAATTATGCCTCCGTATTATTCAATGGCTAGAAGGATTGGCCTCTAAAGCCCTTGATCTGGAGAGCAAGGTGATTGGTTTTATTAAATTAATATGGATTATGTTGACTGTTTCATTGTTGGTGTTATTTTTTATTGTGTTTTCATCATACTTTGTGATGGAAGGAGCATGGTTTCATTGTCCTGAATATTGATAAGGATTTTATAAAGCCAGTGGCATGGCATGCCCTTACATGTGGTGTGACTTCTCTGAAAAATGAATCTTGCAATCTTTCACTATTTTCCCCCTTTTCTATCTGTAGAAAACTTAAGGAACAGTTGTCCTTATTTTTTCCTATTCTATCTACAATGAAAGAATACATCTAAATAAATAGGAATAGTGAAGTTCCTTATTAGGAAACAATTTACATGAAAAAGAAAACAAAAAATAATAAAAGGAAGTAGAATTATTCTATTCTAAAATAGAAGCAAATCCCTAAAAACTTGACAATCAGAATAGTTGACTAAATCAGAAGAGTAAATGAGAAATATTCCTAAAATAAATTAGGAAATCAAGCTGCACTAATGTAGGAGAATCATATTTGCACTAATATAGGAGAATCGGAATTCTAACTCCCCCTCAAGCTGGGTTATGAATGTTAATCATACTCAGCTTGGATTTCAATCCGTAAAAAATGCTTCTAGGAAGAGCTTTAGTTGGAATATTTGCAATTTGTGAACTTGTAGGGATATAGGCCAGTTTAACTGACCCATTTTCTATCTTTTCCTTTATGAAATGTTGGTCCAGCTTTATGTGCTTGGTCTTATCATGACAAACAGGATTTTTGGCAATACTTATAGTAGCCTTATTGTCACAAAATAGTGTCTTAGATGTCAACTTTTAATTCTCCAAGTAACCTCATCAGCCAAATTCCTTCACAAATACCATGGGACATTGCTCTAAACTCAGCCTCAGCACTGCTCTTAGCTACTACAGCTTGCTTTTTACTTCTCTAAGTGACCAAATTGCCCCAAACATAAGTGCAATATCCAGTAGTAGACCTTCT